AACAATAAAAAGAAGCACAGCCAAAAGACTGGCTTTTCCTGTTTTTATGTGAAGCACAGAGGAAACTAAGCACGTGAACTGCACTCGGCTCTTTACAAGTCAAAATATCACTTCTTTTAAATGAGAAGAGGAAAAATGCAACTCATTTCTGACTGATTTTCTCACTCTGACGTGCAGACATGAAAAACTATTAGCACTTATTTGCTAATTTGTTATTATGAAACCTTTGAATGTAAAAGTAATCTGCTTTATTAAAAATAGTATTAGATTTCTCCAACCTTTTAAAAGCTGTTAATTATAAGTGTTAACAACATCTGGCTGCCATTCTGATGATGGCATTCTCTGCTTTTGCTGACAAAAGATTACTTGCTTAAAACCCCATCCTGCTTCATCCCATCATCTTGTTCACTTTTACAAGACCAGCATGAGTCCTGGCTCCCTTTTACAACCTTTTAACTTTATTTTGATTCTTCTGATTTATTAGTTCTGTGAAACTGCATTGTAAGTCTTCAATGGAAATCACTATTCTTACACCCCTACTCTGTTCATGTGGAATGTTTGCAATGTATGTTTTCCCTTGCTGTCCTTCACATCTGTTTAAACTGGAAGAGGGTAATAATGAAGACTTTTCATTGTGCTTATGGATGATCTTGCAAATTATTGGCTAACATCTTATTGGCACACATCTCCACAGGTCAAGACAGTTTAAGTGTCAACTCTAGTTGATGATCAGATATCTAAAGTGACATCTATGGATTGAATAGCTGCCTATAGTACCAAAAGTCACTTGTAAAGGAGCAAACTTGACGGTCTTGCCATGACAGGATTGAACAAAGCTGTTCTTTATCACCTTTGTTCTTTCTCAAGCAGAGACATTTTCTATTCTCTTTTTCTATTTCTCATTGTTATATTCATCCAGACTCCTAGAAAGAAATATCAGTGCATGTGCTACACTGTCTAGGCACATTGAGTTTCACATACAGCAAACCTGCAGGATTTAATTTGTAAGCATTGCAAGGGACTCCAGTATACATAAAGAAAATCTGATACCTCCAGTGCTCAAAAGAGTTATTGGACATGCCAAAACTATCTGCACAGCATGTGTGTTTGGATGCACCTGTAAAGTGAATATTTGCTTGGGATCTGAGGAACTTCTGAGCCACACGTGCTGAGAATCTGAGATGCTGGACTTTGTGTTTATAAATATGGCATTTTGGCAAGTGTAAATTGTGAGATTAGAAGGAACAGTTTAGGAAATGCAAGATGTTTGTTCCTGTAAGAAAGGATGACTACTATGTGGCTGTGTTGTGAGTGGAGTGGGAGAAGTCATAGAAGAAGGGAAGGAGAAGAGTCAGAATGAGAGGCCTTGAATGTGTGGTTATCAGGAAGTCTGCTTCCACCCTGTTCTGGTTTCTGTTAATAAGACCACAGCTTGGAACCCATCTGAAGATTCCACAATACAAATGCATTAAGGTACATTAGTTATTATGGCTATAAAGAATCTTAAAGTCATGACATTATCAGATATACAGGACAAAGAACAGATTCTCAGACCAGCCAGCAAAAGCAATTAATTAATTACAAGAATAGCCTGCCTGCATGCTGCATGCCTGTTCCCAGACCTGAGCTTGATACCAAAAAAGTCAAAGGCACAAATTAGTTTTTAACTCCTTTCAGCTTGTATTAACTCCTTTCAGAGCAAAGTATTATAGAAAGGAAATTCATGTCCTGTATATGTGCAGGGTTTGGAAGGAATAGAACCAGTACACGTGGATGCATAATGATATCTAGGATCTCTGGGGCACTGCAGAAGATCCAGGAAAATGAGCAAATGCTGATTTATGCTCTCTTGAGCTAATATACTTGGGACGGGGTTGAAATAGGGAAGAAAAAGGGAAAAGAATAAAGCACAATATATAGATGGTTGAAATTCTCTATCCCCACAAAACAAACAGCTTATAAATTTTCCATATGGAATCTAGGAATGGTGATATTTAGCATAAAAGTTTTGCCTCATTGGATCAAACATTAAAGACTGCTAATATCCTGAGCAGTCTCACCAGCTCTTGTAGTTATATTGATCAATTTTAAATACCTTTTTTTGCACAACCATTCTGAACTTTGGAATGAAAAAGAAACAGCTGCTATCATTCCAAGGGTTTATATTATATCAGAGGTCCAGTGAGTGATGTGTTGTAATGATTGCACCATTTCCGTTTGTCATTAATGAATTAATGAACAGAGTGAGGAGTTCTGTTACAGTGGAAATTAAACTTTTTTTTTTTTTTTCCCTGTAGTGATTTTCAGTCCTTATTGCCACATTTTACTGAACTGGGTCCAAACATGTGAGCTGTAAGAAATCAGTTAAAGGACATCATCGTCTATACCATGATTTATTTATTTAGTTAGTTAGTTAGTTTAGTGAATAGATGTAAAGAAATATTCTTCTGTAAAGATATGGAAGTAAGCAGCTGGCTGTGTTAAACTTGCTAATAGAAAGGGAAAATCAGGGAGAATAAAGAAAAGGAGAACTGATTAATTTGATTTGTCAATTTTTGAATGCCTGCAAAGAGGAAAACTAATTTGAAGTATTGAGATTTTTTTTAAATATATCAAACCCTTAACAGTCAAATTTAAGAACCTGCTTAGGACTTTATTTTTATTAATAAATTTTAAAGATGAAGGAGATATGGATGTTTACTAACACAGGTTGCTCAAGAGTCCCTTTCTACAACTCTGCCAGAACTTGTCAGCAGTGTACATGTCAGAGTTGAAATTAAGCACAATATTAGTATGGCCTGCACAGATGGGTATCTTACACATACACCATGAAGGCGAGAAGAAGAGCCATTAACTCACTCCCTCCCCAGGCTCATGCTCTGCAGAGCTGGTCCATGCAAGTCATGATAAACTCTGACTTCTGAAATATAGCCCTGATGCTTACTATTTTGCCATTGTTAATCAGTTATGTACCTCTTAGTAGTGATTCAATTTTATTTGTGTTTGCAGAGATTTTTCTTTGCCATTCCATGTTTGAACTACTTTACTGAACTATTACATAGTGTAAAAATGTACCTACAAAGGAAAAAGGGAGACAGCTTCTAGAGACAAATATATCATGTGGAGTCACTTATTCAGGCCCAGACCTGCTCACACCCAGTTTCATGCGCATGAATAATATAATTGCTTTCAAGAGGAGTTCTTGCAGACCTGGATTAATGTTTGATGGATAAAGAACTAAACCCCATAACTAGATTCCTTATATACTCATATGAATAAAAACCTTCTGAGATAAAATAAATGAATAAATAAAGACATAAATAAAGTAAATGATCCTGTATATTCATAAATATTTTCTATTTTTTAAAGACATACCTTCTTGATGTGAATGTTTTAACTGTGGAATGGTTCTGATGATCAACGCTGTACTGAGATGCATAATTTCAACGGTGTTAAGTAGTTTTATTACAGAACTTGCTTGTTAAATATAGGAAAGGATATAAAAAGTTTATGAAATGTTACCAGTTCCAATTATAGGTTTGAGAAAACTACCATGTGATGTATAATATATGGCCTTATTTTACTGCATATCAGCCTTTTTGTTTATTTGTTTGTTATTACTTTTTAAAAAATCTCAGCCTGACAGAGTTGTGGTTCTATAACAATCTGACAACTGTGCAGTAACACTGTCCATAGTTGTATTTTTTTTCCTCTCTTCAGAGTGGAACCACAGGAAAAATGTTTGTGATTGACCATGCAGTTACACACAGTTGCCTTGTCTTTGTTTTAGTTTGCATGAGTTATCTACACGCTATACTATTTCCTGTTATACGTATGTTTGCATTCTACTGTTTTCATTTCAGATCTGCTAAAAAAGTGAAGAATCTGTTGATATCTGTACTGTGGGGGCCAGCTATAGCCCAGAGATATAGCATGTAGCTCAGCAAAGCACTTTTAAGGATAAGAATAACCTCTTTGTTACTCAGCAAAGCAATTTATTTAAGTATGCAGTTGAGCGTTATGCTGAAAATGGATGGAGGTGCTGGTGCTAAAACTGTGTTTAAATTGTATTCTTTGCCTAGAGAATCAGGGAATTAAAGGATGCCCCTGTAGCTTTTACTATAGTTAAAACGGATGATGAAAAATTACAAAGAAAACTGACTAATTTTGTCAGCTGTTTTCTTCTGAACAGAGACCACAATAAACGATGCTGTAGGGGCAAACACAAACAATTGAAGGAAAATGTGTTTGTAACCTATTACACTATTTTCCATGTTAAAACACAGAGAGACTTAATATTTCTATTGTGTTTATCAATTGGTATTTTACAGCATTTGTAAATGAACCTGAGAAAGAGAATCTGGTGATTACAAATCATAGAATTGTAGAATTGCTTGGGTTGGAAAGGATCTTAAAGACCATCTGGTTTCAACCTCCCTCTCATGGGCAGGGATGCCATTCACTAGATCAGGTTGTCCAAGTTCTCATCCAACCTGGTCTTGAACACCTCCAGGTGTTCCCTGAAGAGATGAGATCTAATATACCATGAGAAGAATATGCCAACGTTCCACTTTCAAAATTGTCAATATTACTTTCAATCAGATATTGTCCCCTTTTTGCTCTTACACACTTCAAATTCAGGCCTTCCTTTGAGAGAAAGGTGAGCAGTCTAAGGAACTGCCAGTTTCAGTTCTCCAGCTCATTTTGTCCCCCCTCTGTGCCAACCCCACAGATCAGTCTTCTGGGTGTGGAAGTTTCCATTACCTCCATTCATTGACATCTGCACTCTTGTGAGAGATTCTGTACTGGTTACTGCAACCCAATCTCACCTGTCACATAGTCTGAAGTCATGTTTGTTTGTACGACTGTCAAGCTATGCTTCAGCATTCCTATCATGAGTATAGGATTGGCACTGGCAAAAGAGAAAGACTCCCATATTCTTTGTAACAACAGAGCTCAGATATCAAACAGTCTGCAGAATAAATCTGTATGGTTCATACCTCTTTAGATTAGATCCAGTAATGGGTAAAAGGTATATGACATTTTTATTGATGTGAGTTATCACCAGAGGGATTCTGAGAAGCAGAGATCTGGATGAATGTAGTGCACAGAGGAGGATCGGAGCTTGGTGGTATAGAGCAGAGGTTCCCAGTCTGGAAAGAAGCACAGGAAGACCATGCAAAAGGAGTTGTTTATGTAAATAGAATAAGCAAAGATGGAAAAGGCAGAAAAAGCCAGAAGAGAAGTTATTTATGTTATTCACTTGAATGTGAAGGAATTTGCACTGAAGTGTGCAGGAAAGCAGAAGCAAGAACATCAGAAGTTTATCACATGGTTCAAGCAATGAGAGATGAAGAGGCTGTAAGCATTTCAATGAATAAGAAGCTACAGCAAAGTGGACTATGAAGAATATGTATTAAAGAGCTGCAACAGGAGAACTTCTAAAATAAGTGGTCTACTTTTGACATATGGTTATGCCTTAAAAAAAAATCCTACTTCTGGAGCACCTTGCCCCTCACATTTCTAGATAGAAAGGATCATTTAAAGTCCTTCAAGGAATACCTACAAGATGACCTTATTTCTTTAGTTGTTGCCTCAGTTAAATTATTTCTACAGGGCCTTGTATATCACAATACTGAGTATTGTTACAGCACCTGGAACCCCCTTATGCGTCTTCTCACAGCTCTGATGATATTACTATATTAATATTTATGATATATTCTTATAGCAGTTCCTCACAAGATATTTAATGTGACTATTAAAACTTGGATTGCAGCAATTTAAGTATGACAGAATACAACAACATGCTCTCTACTCCTTAATGGAAAATTAAATAATACCTTGTAAATACTTAATGCCTAGTAAAATATCTTGTTTTTGGTAGACATGCACCTACTGTGAAATTGCAGTTCTTTTTCATTCTTTATTAATCATATGAAACAAAATGAAGCATGGTAAACATGTTCCCTACTGTACAATAGAAGGGATCAAGCTAAACACTGTCTAGGAGAGTTTACTACAAAATCTGAGTATTTCCCAAATTGTTTTTTCTCAGTGGAAGGGGGGGAAAGGAGAAAAGAAAAAGAAAAGAAAAGAAAAAGAAAAAGAAAAGAAAAAGAAAAAAAAGAAAAAGAAAAGAAAAGAAAAGAAAAAGAAAAAGAAAAAGAAAAGGAAAAGGAAAAGGAAAAGAAAAGAAAAGAAAAGGAAAAAGAAAAAGAAAAGAAAAAGAAAAAGAAAAAGAAAAAGAAAAAGAAAAAGAAAAAGAAAAAGAAAAGAAAAAGAAAAGAAAAAGAAAAGAAAAAGAAAGGAAAAGAAAGGAAAAGAAAAGAGAAAAGAAAAGAAAGAAAGAAAGAAAGAAAAGAAAAGAAAGAAAAGAAAAAAGAAAAGAAAGAAAAGAGAAACAATTTAACCAGCTCTAGACCTAGTCATACTGTTCTCATGAGTAGTGCAAATGCATTATTGTAAGAGTTAGCAGATTACAGTCTGATACCCAAGACCTCAGTCTGTTTATGAGCTATTTCTTTGAGCCCCAAGGGATTTTACACTGTGACTTCTTCTGCTGTTCTCTGCAGACTTTGTGGAGTCTCTTTAGCCTGGGAGTTTGGTAAACGTAAACCTCCCAAGATCCTTTGAAAACTCAGTTTTGCTTTGCTTTTCAAATCAGTAATTGTTTAACAGTACAAAAATATGATCACTGTTGTGACACTGTTGTGTCTGTGATATCACCTCCCTCCCATACGTAGAATGACATTTTATGACTACAGAGGAGTAGGCTTTAGAAAAGAAATATTTTCTGTGTTTAGGGATAAATACAGCACTCGTTAAAGAGTAGGAGTAGCAGCATTTCAGCTAAAGCAAGGCAGGCTCTACTGCACAACTTTCTCCCATGCATCCCTGCCAATGCCAATGACCTGCTTCACCTCCTGTTATTGTAGTCCTGGGCCTCTGTGCAATGCTGGCAAAACACCTCAGTCCTGACCTTTGACGCCCTTTGCTACTCCAGTTCTGGGGCTCCCAAAAGGCTCTGCCAAGACCTCCTTTCTGACCTGTGCTGAGCTCCCTCCTCTTTCTCACCCCAATCTGCCATGCAGCTCTGCACAAATGCCACCCTAGTGCTCCACAGTACCTCCTATCTTTGCAGTCCTGGAGTCTTTTACAGAGCTCCATAGCTCTGTAAATAAGCCTCCATCCTGACTTGCAGCAACCCTTGCTGTTAGGATCTTGGGGTCTCTTCTGAGGAGAGTCTGCTAGTCACTCCCAATCACTGCCTAGGGGAACTGGGGTGGATTTTTCTTCCTTTGCTTTTTTTCCAAGGGTGGGGGGGGGGGGGGGGGAGGAGGGAGAGAGAAGGCATTGTTTTTAAAGCTTAATAGAATCAATGAAGAATTTAAAGAATACAGCTTAACATGTTATGAAAACAAAGGCTTTGCTCTGGTTCACTGCAGCAAAAGCACATGAAATGACACTTTTCTACTTGTGGTAACACAACATGGACTAAACTGGAAAGGAAAGAACACATAGGAAAGGATTAGTCAGAAGCAATCAAAGATTCTAATAGACAAAAGAAAAACATACATTTCTTCGTGTGTAATTTGAGGTACAGCGCTGCTCAGTTCAGCTTAGCTTCCTCATAGCATTCACTACATAGATTTCCTATACTCAGCATTTTTGCTCTCCCCCCCATTTTTTCATATCCTTGCTTGTGTGGACTGTAACCCAGCAAAAGCTGATGTGTGCTTAGTTTCACTGAGTTCAAGGTGATTGGTTCATATATGTAACATTACTCATGAATGAATAGACTGGCAAATATTGAGGATTTAAATTGTGAAATCTTTGAGAGAGATATTTGTAAGTTTTGCCCACAAATCTTAAAAAACAAAACAACACAACAACAACAACAAAAAAACATCATCAGTAGTATTTCCTTCAATCATATCCAAATAAAATATATCACACTACAAATGCATAAAATCTACTTAGTATTGAGATAACTCTTGCTCCTCCATAGTTTAGGATGCAGATGTGGCTTTTTTTCTTTTTCCCCCCCTAAGTCTTTTGCAGATACCTGCCCTACAGTCTTAAAATCTCGGCACTCCTCATTTGAATATTTTTTCCTATTGCTCAATATCAAATGTAGAAAACTTATTTTGTGGTCACTTCTCACAGTTGTAGCACCTTCTTTGCTTGTATCTCAAATAGTGATTTTTTTCCCCGTATACATGTTCAATCCTTTTAATCCTTTTCCTCACATCACCAGGAAAATTAATTTGCTATGACAGTTTTTTTTTTGTTTGTTTGTTTGTTTCTTTGTTTATCTTTAAATGTTTATACTTGGTAAGAGAGATGAAAGTTGTAATTTGAGTTAAATCAGAATTCATGAAATGTTTGTGTTTCCCAGATTTCCGTCAAGACTGTAGGTCAAGATTACTATGGTAGACTAGTCTGTCTGATTAATTGCTGGAGGAATCATCTCTTAGTATACATAACAGCTACGAATCACTAAAGACAAAAATGATTATTCAGAAATTTAAAGGATTTCAGGATAACATTATAGCCTGCAACACAATGTATCAATGCAAAGTAATTTTAGACATAATAGAATATTGCTGGGCTGGGCAAAAAAAGATGTTTCATGTCTCTTTGTACTGTGTCTGGCTGGGATGTTAACTTTCCCTGCAGCAGCCCATACAGTGCTGTGCTCTGCACTTGTAGCTAGAACAGCACTGGTATCACCCAAGTGTTGTGTCTGCTGCTGAGCAGTGCTGGCACGGCATCAGGACTCTCTGTAACCCTCCTAGGGGGTGGGCAAAACAGTGAGAACAAAACATCACCAGGGCAGCTGACCTAAACCAACCAAATGGATATTCCATACCATACCATGTCATACTCAGCAATAAGAGGTGGAAACAGGAAGAAGAGGGGAGGGGTGGGCTCTTGTGAAAACATCAGTCCTCCTCCTGAACACCAGCTACATGCGTTGAGGTCCTGCTTCAAGGACATGGTCAAGCATCGCTTGTTTGTGGGAAGTAGAGAGTAATTTCTTTCCTCTGCACTTCCATGTAGACTTTACTTGTTTTGTTGTTATTTTTTTTTTTCCCTTTCACCCTTCCTTCCCCCCCCCCCCCCCCCTTTTTTTTTTTCCCTTTACTTAAATTGTTTGGTTAATATTAATCTTTTCTTAATAATTATTATTATTTTTCCCTTTAATTAAATTATCCCTATCTCAACCCATGAGTTGTTCTTTACTTTACTTCTTCCCCTCCTCATCTAAGGATGGGGAGTGAGAGAGCAGTTGTGGTGGTTAGCTGCCTAGCACGGTAAAATCACCACACTTTGTGAAAGTACTTTTTAAAATAAAATTTCTGTAGATGTCTGAATAGAAATCTGTTCAAAACTGAAGTCAAAATGTTTATGTTAGAACTGATAAAAATAATTAAAATAAAGTTAAAAAAATGTATTTAGTTTAAATTTGGCTAAAAGAAATAAATTCAACCTGCTTTCAGGAACAACTTACGTCCAAGAAAAAGACATTTAATCCAAAATATTTAATCAGACCTAGTTACAGGTGATTTTCCCAGTACTCACACAGTAACTCTAGCTTTGGCTTAGGTTCAGTTTGAGTTCACAGGTCATCCACACTGAAATTCAGGGTCCCACAAAATCATCACCGCCTCTGCCAGTCATTACCGAGCACTGGTTTGTTCCACCCTCAAATCCTGCTCTGCAACTGTTGCTTGGGAGGAGCAGGTATTCATTTTCTCCATCAGCTTCACACCTCAAATTGTCTTTCCTAATGTGATTGGACCACTATATCCCTGTGGCATCTGACAAATCTGTCACAAGAAATATTTAGAAGAGAGATGTTAATCAACCAACCATATAAAGAAGTCTGCTTTGATGTATTCAGAAGAAATTTATTAACTTCATTGTGTTGAAATTGTTTTGATCCCCGGCCATTGGTGGGAAGGTCATCCACCATAAAAAACTGAAACACAATGAAAAAAGAGACTGTTTTCTAGATGCTAAAATTCTGAGACTTTCTGACAGTAGCTTCATAGACTCTAACCTCCCTGTTTCATATCTGACTATGTACACTCTTTGTATGACAAACAATATACATATATGTTGACCAATATATATCCCTAAGCAGTTT